CATTCATCAATATTAATCCTCAAAATTATTTCTCAATAAATTAATTCATATCCCCCCTGATGAGTTTATGAAATCATAATTTCATAACTATAGTTCAATATCTAAAGACAATTTCAACAATAATGCATCTCATTGCTCAAATCATAGATCGGTGGCATTTTAGAAATCTCATGTAATTTAAAAGCACTCACAAACATCATACAAACATGCATAACAAGTGAAAAGTAGTTACTTTTCACTAAAGCTATATAATACCAAAATCAAACCAAGCCTTGTGCTCAGACAAATAATTTATAATTAATTTATAGCAATCAAAAGTAACCACATATTAATTCATAATCAAAAGAGTAGCTCATAACAAACATAAAGACTCAAAGCCCCTTTAGAGCCTAACTCTTACCATAACCACAATTCAACCATTCTAACACTAAAATTAGAATCTTAATAGCTTAATTGACTCATCTAAAATAATCATTCACCTCAAATTACTCGATTTTAACAAAAAACCCATTTAAAAATTTCAAGCTATATCAACAAGCTATGTCAACAAGCCAAACCAATTGAACATCAATTCCAACTTACAATAGCATAATCCAGCCATCAAACCTCAATTCAAATCATCACTTTATCATCAACCATCAAAAACCTCCAAAATTCACAAACCCTAAATCCAAAACCTCATAAAACTTCAAATCTAACAAAACTAAACTAATTAAATACTTAATCTAGTCTATATAAGTTTTTTAAACTCAAAAGATTCGGTGAAAACCTTAGTGCATTCAAAAATCATCATAAACCTTAGATTTCAACTATCTCAAATGTGGGAAATTTAAGATGAAAGGGTATAAATAAGGTTAAAGGCACTTACTTTGATATTTAGAAGTTCAAATATACTCTTAGGGACCAATACCAAGTCCTAGCAAAGCCCCATAAGTGCTACTTCTCCAACCATCTTTTTTTCGAATTGACATTTGATTTTGAAAACAAGATTTTGTTGCATTTGCTATGATGAACATCTAGCGAATGTCTAGGAAACAATATAGTCATCTAGCCAATAGCATAGTTAACACTCTGTGTTGTTAGCTATAGCGAACGTCCAGCAAATAACATAGACAAAAAGGTCTAATTTTAAAAATTCATAACTAACTCCACTGATCTCCCAAAATTACAAACTAGGCCTTTTTGGAAATTGATGTGTCTATTTTTCATTGAACCAAAAGATTTATTCAAAATTATTATCATTTGTTCCTTGAAAATGATGATTTACTAAAATTACTCAAAAGTTAATAGGTAATAAGGAGGCCTAACATCAAAATTTTACAATTAACTCTGTACATTTTCAAAATTTATAAATTAGGATTCATTGAAAAGGTTGAAGTGTCAACTTTCAAATACAAGTTTTGAGAGATATTATTGTTTAACTCTTTAAAATCTCCAAATTCTAAGACTGTTTTGAAAAGTCTAAAAGACATGGCTTTCAATTATCAGCTTTCATATTTTTATGCCTCAATTAAACTCAAACAACAACATTTGCTTTTATTGCCACATAATTCAAAGGCTTAATTACCCCAATACAAGCTTAAAAGTCTTCAAAGCTCAAGTTAAAAACTCAGGATGTTACAACACATGCTTATCGCATAGTATTTTATGCAAATTCTTCAATCTAGACTCCACATAGGCCTTGTACATCATCTTGGACTCTTCTTCACCACACTAAATCATGCCATGATAGCTTTGGGGTGCCCTATTATGTGTCATGTCTAGCTTGACATCTATAATAGTCCATGTCATCGTTTAAGAAATGATCCATGTTCTCCTTTGTGTAAGTATTTTGAAACTATAAATTCTTTGAACATTTTGAAGGGCTTGTTGGGCCTCTAACTAGAGGAATACTTTTTGGGTTTTAGGACCTCTATATTGAACACTTCCTAGTATGCTATCACCTTCCATGTTTAACCTGATATAGGCTCAGGATGAATTATCCTTGTGGAGGGAATATCCTTGCATGTGATTCATGTACTTGTGAGAATCCAATAGATGAAAATAAAGGAGATCAAGTGATGAATTTCCTTTATAACCATTTGAGGAGAAGAGTTTCGTACTTGATGAATATTTGATTCCTTTTCCTCCTAATGACATAATGATTTGCTAGTGAAAATGCAATATAATGATGTGCTTTATTATTTCCTGTAGATCATCTTGATGCATATAATGACTAGCAAGGAGAGCATTGTTTACAAGCTTCCATATAAACAAAAAAACATGTAAAAGTCAAAGAAACTGACCATATGAATTTCCATGAACTCTTTGTAGATATTGATTGATAGATTTGCCTGCAAATCTTATATCCATTCTTAATCATGTAATCACTTGAACAGCTTTTAGTTTTAGTTTTTGGGAGTTGTATGACTATCTCCAAGTACTTAGTTTCAAACTTAGTTTAAATGACCCGTGAATTTAGATGATACTCTTCCGATCTTAAATATAATACTCATTTTGTAATGTAAATTACATTACAAAATAGGTCTTATCTTTAAGACTGGATGAGTGGTTTTGACTATTAAGGGCTAAGCCCTTGTTTTGAAAAGACTTGATAGAAACAAGTGATTAAATGTTTTAGTGTATATTTGGGATGGCATTAACAAGTTTCAGAAGCCAATTGAGATTTTAAAAAAAAAAAAAAGGGAAGAAGCAAATTGGATTATAAAAAATATGCTTGACATCGTTTTGAGAGCAATTGCCTTTTTGTCCAAACATCATTTTAAAGTTAAAGCAACTCTTTCTAGCTTCTGGTTTTTTTTTTTTTTAAATTTTGTCTTAAAATTTTTGAATATTTTAAAATTATTTTTTAATTTATTATCCAAACAATTTTATACCAAACTGACTTTTTTATAAAAGCCTGTTCAAACATAAATTACTCTATATTAATGGATTTTTTTACCCCAAATTCAGTTTGGAAAAGTGACTAGAGATAAAAAGTTATTACTTTTATTAATGTTAATCCAAACAAATAATTAGCTATTTGGTATGTTGTGAAGAGTTGTTGGGCTAAGCCCATACTTATATATTTTCCTGTTAAATTGAGATGTTGAAATTTATTAGTTATTATATTGGATTATTTTGTCTAGGCTTATGGATTGCTGATTTGTAGTTTGGGCGTCAAAGGGCCCCAAGTCCCCACAATGTTTTAAGTTTTTGTTTGTCATGCATACAAGCATAGTATCTTTCATAACCTAGAGATACTTCCGCTAAACCTAAACTCGTCGAGTTACTAATTATTGTTCTAATAATAGCCATAGAAATCAAAAACAGTTCAAATATTTTTTTAAAAAAGAAAAAAGAAAAATGCAGGACTCTAAAGTCAAAAAGTCCATTATATAATGCTTTTGCATCGTTCCCTTGTGCTCACATCCGTTTGTTTTAGTTGTGAAGAAAAGATTCCGTTTGTTTTGAATAATGGTCCCATCTCTAGTAAAATAAATAAACAGAATAAAAGAGAACCTGCCAATAAGAATTTATCCGGTTGCTAAAGAGTCAGCTCATATGCTGATGTAAAGGCTTTTTTGATAAGTGATCTGTAAACATTTTTGTAAATACCTTATTAATAGGTTATTCGTAACTACTTTTATAAATCGTAACTAATTATAAATGGGTGTGTTTGGATGAAACCAAACCGTGGTTTGGAAAAGTGATTCTGGAGAATAGATTTTGGGGAAAATAGATTCTGTGAAGAATAGATTTTATAAAAAAGTGATTCTGAGAAGTGAGAGTGTTTGGATAGTTGTTATCAGAAGCACTTTTTATATATACAAATTACTAAAAAAAAGACATAAGTTAATATGATAATTACAGAAAAAATAGATTTTATGATATATTTTAATTTAAAGGAATAAAATTGTTAATAACATATTTTTTACCAACATAATTAATAATACATAAGAGAAATAATTAATAAATAATTAATGTGTATATATATTTATAAAATATAAGATTAAATATATTTATAAAAAAATATGTTTAAAAAAAATAACAAGATACATATCATATAGGCCCTCACACTCTCCCTTTTTCTCCAAAGCAAAAAAATTTTGCTTTTTCCAAAACCATGGTTTGACCCAAAACCATGGTTTTGATTTTTGGAGGGGGTGTTTGGGTGATCTATTCCCCAAATCATGGTTTGAGTCCCCAAACCATGGTTTGGGGTGTCACCCAAACACACCCTTAAACTTAAAAATATGTCCTGATTTTAATAAGTTTTCAAAACATAACTCGCCCAGACTTTTTAGAATCAAAGAATGAAAGAGAAGCCAAAAGCGGTTGCACACAATCGATGCAATAAAGTCCAAAGCCCCTTGGTTATCAAAAGTGGAAAAGCAAAATTTGGGGGGGGGGGGATATCACGGCAAACCTATATGTTTATTTTCCTTTAATGAAACCGGCCCTCTATACTCCATACTTTTTGATGAACTATAGTCCATACTATAATCGTATTTTGTTTTCGCTGCTGATGATAATTTATTTTCACGATTTATTATTTATTTTTTTTATTTAGAAACATATACCCAAAAAAAAAAAACAAAAGACGTTGGCCTAACCTAGATCATGTTGATTTTGCTAAGATGGATTTAGCAGCGTTAAGTTTTTCAGATGACTAGGTTAAAATATGCTGACCTTAGAAAAATTATAAATCCTTCAATTAAAAATTTTTCCAGATTGAAAAAAAAAACAGAGAGAAAATGGAATTTCACTTCCCTACAAAACACTACAAAACACACATTAGAGGGATAAGGACCTTAGAGAAGCATTAGAATATTGAATCTTAGCAAAATAAACTAAATAAACTACTATGTAAATTATTACCTCATTAATATAAGAATTAGATAATTAATTTATAAATATCAAAAAAATTAATAAATTTAATTATTTATAATAAATGAGTATTGTCTTCTCAAAATATTATTACTAATTATATGAATTGGAATTATCTTTGATTAAAACTTTTTATCTAATCATTGTAAGAATTAATTGAAGGCAAAATAAACAAATATTGTAATAACACTGGGGTCTTAAAGCGAAGATCTAATTTCCTTTATATATATCTGGTATATGTTATAGTACGCATCCTCTGCTTCATTCTTATGGCGTCTCTGAAAATACAAGAGCTCTGCAGAATTGCTCCGCCACCATCTTCACCGAAGTCCTCCTTCTCTCTCACCTTCTTCGTCTTGCTTTGGCTCAGACTCCATCCCGTCGAGCGTCTCTTCTTCTTCTCTCTTCCTCACTTAAGCCATTCTTCCTTCTTCGATTCCATCGTTCCAAAGCTCAAACGCTCCCTCTCTCTCACTCTGCAACACTTCCTTCCTCTCGCTGGAAACATCGTTTGGCCCTCCGATTCACCCAAACCCATCGTTCAATACACTCCTGGATATGCCGTCTCTCTCGCCATGGCCGTTTCCGATTCTGATCTCAACCATGTCTTGAACAAATCCCCTCGTGACGCCTCACAATCTCGTGCTTTTGTTCCCAACTTGGATTCTTCTGATTCATTCGCTTCGGTTCTTTCACTGCAGATCACTCTGTTTCCCAATAGTGGATTTTGCATAGGCATGAGTTCGCACCATGCTTGTTTAGATGGTAAGTCAGCGACTATGTTCATGAAGGCCTGGGCTTATCTATGTCGAACAGAAGCAGAGAACGAATCTTCTGGTTTTCTTCCTCAAGAACTACAACCATTCACAGAAAGAGAAGTTATCATCGATCCATGTGGCATTGACATTACATACATTAATGGGTGGTCAGGTTTAGATCCCACTCATCAGGCTCAGAAGAGCCAGCCATTGAGCTTGAAGATTCTCTACGACGTGTTCCCGCTTTTAGTGGACCACTCTGCTCGAGCCATATTCGAGCTCAAACGCTGGGATATAAACAAGATAAAAGAAAGGGTTTTGCAGAAATGGGAAAATTCCGAGACCAAAGAAGAAAAAGAAGACTCAACACTTTCAAAGCCTCAAAATTTATCAACCTTCGTCCTTACAACTTCTTATGTTCTGGTTTGCCTTGCCAAGGCCGTTGAAACAACTGGCGAAAACAAGAGAAGGAAACTGTTATTCTGCTTCCCAGCTGATTGTAGGGCCAGATTAGAGCCTCCAATCCCCGAAACCTACTTTGGTAATTGTGTGATGCCTCAGATACTTGAAATACAGCCAGAAAACATAAAAGATGAGGATGGGTTAGTCATGCTTGCCAAGAAAATACACAGAAAGATAAAGAAAATACAGAAAGAGAAAGGGGCGCTTGATGGAGCAGAGACACTGTTTTCTGGGTATTCTTTGCAATCTGCAGAAGGAATCGAAGTTCAGTACATAGCAGTAGCCGGGTCGACCCGGTTCGGGGTTTACGAGACTGATTTTGGGTGGGGAAGGCCTGAGAAGATGGGGACACTTTCAGTGGACAGAGGTATAACAATGGCGATGGCAGAGAGTAAAGATGGTGATGGTGGCGTCGAAGTGGGACTCGCACTAAAGAAGCGTGTGATGGATCAGTTTGCTTCCTTGTTTGCAACAATGATTGCATCTCTTTGATGTCAAAATATCATGATTTGAAATCTGGCAATTAGCTTAATTTTCAAAAGCATTAATGTTGTGCTCAATAAACTTTGAAGGGAAAATTACGTACAGGTCTCACAAAAGGCAATTTATTACTCTAAGGTCTCATGAAATGTCAAAATCACTGACAGGTCCCAAGGGACCTCAGAGTAATATTTTCAATTTGTAAAATGACATTACTACCCCTCATATTCCAGATTCACATTTGCTCTGTTATTGCGATTTACAACCTCAGCAGCGACTATTAACAACCCAATGAGAGGGCGTTAACAATTCTAGCAGTATCTGTTAACAACTTACTTTATAGAATCATATAACCTCCGCATAAGAGTAAATTATAACCAAATAGTATAATACAACAATTTTAACACTAAAATGGGAAGCTTTTTGATATCATTAAGAATTTTAACTACACCCAATAGGATTATAACAACATTTTAATGCGAAAATCCATTTACAACCTCAACAGCGACTATTAACAACTGAATGAGACAGCATTAACAATCTAAGCAATATCTGTTAACAACTTACTTTATAGAATTATATAACCTCCACATAAGTGTAAATTATAACCAAATAGTATAATACAACAACTTTAACATTAAAATGGGAAGCTTTTTGATATTATTAAGAATTTTAACTACACCCAATAGGATTATAGCAACATTTTAATGCGAAAATCCATTTACAACCTCAACAGTAAGTATTAATAACCTAAGGAGAACTGTTAACAACCTCAGCAGTGTCTGTTAACAACTAACTTTATCAGATAATATAACTTCTAACTATAACTAACTAAATTATAACTAAATAGTCTTAAAGTTAATCTTATATAATTGTTAGAGGTTATATTATCCTATAAAGTCAGTTGTTAACAGATACTGCCTAGATTGTCAACAGCTATCTTTGGGTTATTAATACTCACCTTTGAGGTTGTAAATGGATCTTCGCATTAAAATGTTGCTATAATCATATTGGGTTTAGTTAAAATTCTTAATGATATCAAAAAAAACTTTCCATTTTAGTGTTAAAGTTGTTGTATTATACTATTTGGTTATAAATTACGCTTATATGGAGGTTATATGATTCTATAAAGTAAGTTGTTAACGGATACTGCTTAGGTTGTTAATGCCCTCTCATTCGGTTGTTAATAGTCGCTATTGAGGTTGTAAATAGATCTTCGCATTAAAATATTACTATAATCCTATTGGATCTAGTTAAAATTCTTAATGATATCAAAAAGCTTCCCATTTTAGTGTTAAAGTTGTTGTATTATACTATTTGGTTATAATTTACTCTTATACGGAGTTTATATCATTCTATAAAGTAAGTTGTTAAATGGTACTGCTTAGGTTGTTAATACCCTCTCATTCGGTTGTTAATAGTCGCTGTTGAGGTTGTAAATGGATCTTCGCATTAAAATATTACTATAATCCTATTGGATCTAGTTAAAATTCTTAATGATATCAAGAAGCTTCCCATTTTAGTGTTAAAGTTGTTGTGTTATACTATTTGGTTATAATTTACTCTTATGCGGAGGTTATATGATTCTATAAAGTAAGTTGTTAACGGATACTGCTAGGGTTGTTAACGCCCTCTCATTGGGTTGTTAATAGTCGCTGCTGAGGTTGTAAATCGCAATGACAGAGCAAATGTGAATTTAAAATATGAGGGGCAGTAATGTCATTTTACAAATCGAAAATATTACTCTGAGGTCCCTTGGGACTTGTTAGTGATTTTGACATTTCGTGGGACCTCAGAGTAATAAATTGCCTTATATGGGACCTGTACGTAATTTTCCCAACTTTGATTCATCTTGGACCAAAAAAAAAAAAGAAAAAACTTGAGAATTAATTAGGGAAAATTACACTCAGGTCTCACATAACACAATTAATATCAAAAAGGTCCCTCGAAATCACGAAATGATTCTGAAGTTCCTAGGGACCTGTGTGTAATTAATTCTAATTGTGAAATTACCTACTTACCCCTGTTAATTTGAACCTATTTACAACCTCAACAGTGGTTGTTAACAACCCAAGAAGAAGTGGTTAACAACCTCAACAACGCCCCTGGCATTCCACAGAGTGAGTTGTCATGAGCACTACCGAGGTTGTCAATCACGTCTTTTCGGGTTGTTAACAGCTACTGTTGAGATTGTAAACGAATTGTTGCAATAAAATTAGAACCTATTTACAACCTCAACAGTGGCTGTTAACAACCCGAGAAGAGGTGGTTAACAACCTTAACAACGCCCCTGACATTCCACAGAGTGAGTTGTCATGAGCACTGTCGAGGTTGTCAATCACGTCTTCTCGGGTTGTCAATAGCCACTATTGAGATTGTAAACGAATTGCTGCAATAAAATTAACAGGGGTAAGTAGGTAATTTCACAATTAGAATTAATTACACACAGGTCCCTGGGGACTTCAGAATCATTTCGCGATTTCGATAGACCTTTTTTATATTAATTGTGCTCTGTGGGACTTCAGTGTAATTTTCCCAATTAATTATATTCTTAGTAGAAAGATGAAAAGAGCGAGAGAGAAACAAAACAAGCTTTATATATATAATATAGGGATAATTAATCTTTTAGTTTTTATAGTATTAACTTGTTTGTAACTCAGTCTTTATATTTTAACTCAATACAATTCAATCTCTATAGTTTTAACTCTATTATAGCTTAGTTCTTAATTAAAATTTGACTTGTTGTAACTCGGTCTCTATACTTTAAATCATTTTATAATTTAGTCATTCTCTTTATTAGATATATAATTTCTTTTTTTAAAATATAAGGACTAAATTATAAAATGAGTAAAACTATAGGGATCAAGTTGTGCGAGTCAAACTACAAGGACTAAGTTACAACCAAATCAAAATTATAGTGACTAAGTTGCACGAGGTCAAAGTGGAGCAACTGAGTTACAAACAAGTTAAAGACTAGAGGGACTAGAAGATTAATCTTTTCTATATCGTATATGAGTACACATTGCATACGCATGACTCCACTCTTACAAAACATATAGAGGTGGGAATACAAGTTAGGCCGGCCCTATAAGACTGATAGGCTTAAAAGGGCTGGCCCTATAGGGCTAAAATTTAAAAAATACTCTAATTTGCTAAACTCGATCCATAAGTTGATAAGCTTAGGACCGGTCCATGGGTTTTCGACCTGTTTAAGGAAAAAAAATTAATATTTCTCATTTTTTTAATATTTTTTAATCAAAAAATAAAAACAAACCAACAAAATTTTAATAAAAGATATAACTATGAATAAAATTAAGTCACAAATACAAAATATTATCATGTCTAAATATCCATCAACATCTAAAACATCCATCAACAAGACAACAACCTCCAAAAGTTTTATTAATAGTGCAAATATTCAATATGTTAGAAACAATCTCACCCAAGAGGGGGGTGAATTGGGTGAGTTACAAAAACTTAAAACTAAAAGCGTGCAAGTATTAAATAAAAACAGAGAGTCAGAGTAAGGAGAATTTTAACCGCAGAGAGGAGACACAAGATTTATACTGGTTCGGTCTAATCCACGTGACCTACTTCCAGTCCCCAGAACACCTCTGAGTATTTCACTATCTTCCAAGATCGACAGGGCTCTTGGTGCCTCGGTACAGTAATTGAATCGCTCAATCACTCCCCCTTACTCCCGTAAGGATACAACCCCTCTCAAGAGTCCACACTCTTGAGTGTCTCTCAAGTTTTTAAAGAAAGTAGTGAATGGCTCTCTTACAGAGTGAATTCAATGATAATCACTGATGCTCAATAGTATCGTAAAAACAGAGTATTGAATGCGTAACTAAATAATCGCAGGTGGTAGTTCGGGTATTCAATCTCTTCATTAATGCCTCTTCGCGCCTTTTATAGTTGATCTCGTTAAATAGCCGTTAGACGGAAGGCTTCTAGCCGTTGTGACTTCGTTTGCATGTTTCACTGGTTTTAACGGCTCCGCCATTAATGCGTCTGAGTTTCTGACACTGTAGGTCGTAGTCTACGTAATCCCGTTGAAGAGCCGTTGCACTCGTTTTTTCATTAATCTGCATATTTCAAACTTAGAACATATGAGAGTTTTGTGGTGAGTGCTTAAATCTTGAATACAGACAGAAAGCTAATCTATCATTCAAGGATTTGTGCCGAAATCATTTATCAGTAAGAAGAACAAAATGTCATTCTGGTTTAGTTTGATCGAAAAAGTGATCGATTACTTGATGATAGATCAAGTTATCGATAACCAGAATGAAGACTTTTCGAAGTAGATCACTAAAATTATCGATCAAGTGTTGGATCATTGACTTTAAGAATTATCATAGAAATAGGAAATCATTGCATGATCGAAAAAGTGATCGATCACATAATTGATCGAACAGATTATCGATAATTTAAATGTTATTGAAATGAAGCTTCAGTCATTGATGATCGAACATCTTATCGATAAATATATAATGCATAATGTTATCGATAAGCCATGGGTATATATATTCAATGAAGAACACAGGCTATCTGAAAAGATCGAACATTTAATCGAACAATGAATATTCGAACAAATGATCGAATAAATTATGAAGAGAAGATTAATCCTGTAAGGCAAGGAAACTGGTTATCGATCACCTTTTGTGAAAAAACATGATTTTCATGGAATTGGATGATCGATCATATTATCGAAAAACCAGTGATCGATAACTTGATCGAACATTCGTTCACCATAACTTAATGCGAATATGTCAATTCTTAGACTCTTTATCGATCACGTTATGTGAAAACTTTTGTTAAGCAAATAAGTTAAAGTTATCGATAATGTTATCGATAATTTAGCTGTAGCAGAACTGAGTAAGAGTAGATAAGGACATTGATTATCGATCATGTGATCGATAATTTTGTGATCAATAAAGTTATCGATCTATCAGTGAATTTGATCACCTGCATTCAGAGAGTTAGAGCATAAAGTTCGAGCACGTAATCGATAAACAAATGATCGAAAATATGATCGATAAACTTGTAACAGAACTAATG